GTTTTGGGGTACGTTCGTTCGCGTTGTCGACCATATTGGAAATCCTGCTTCAGTGAACCCGTAGAGGCGGATTTTCTCCTCGTTTTCGACACCATGTGGCAATGACGTTGTACTTGGTTACAAACTGTAATGAGTCCTTGTCCCATAGATACGGGCAGGGCTGCCTGTTTGCGGGGAGCCTCTCCGAGTTCTGCAAGGGATCTGATTGAGGTGCCTCGATGACATGGCAGTGTTGCACTCGGGTGAACATATCACCAGGACGTGTTGCCGCTAAATCTGCAATTCGTTCACGGTGAAACGGTCAAAAGATACCCCTCGGCTCTTTAAAAGGGAATCTGATTGTGCGGAGTTTGTAATTGAGTTGAGAGCCCTCCGGTTTGGTCGGATCATAGGGATAGTGATATGCATCATCCTCTCGACTTAAAAAGTTCCAGTTTTGGCTTAAATGCAGTAGTGCAGTAAATGCGATTCGGGCCGAAATCGGCCCCTCCGCGGAATTGGATAATTTTTGGATTTTTGGCAGTTGACGGTGCATATATGATGGAAATAATCGAGTATTGCCGATAACAACGTTTTTTGGCTGCGAAACAGGGGCCCAAACATGGCTCCGTGGCCGAAAATAGCTGAAATTTCGCGTTTTTCGCGGTTCTACCTCAGATTTCGACCTGGGCCCAAAGGCAACGGGTGATGAGCTTCGAATATGGTATCTGGGACACCTAGACACGTAACATACTTGAATATGATCAACCGTCGCCTTTGGGCCAAACTTCAAAATCGAACTTTTCCAACTTTTTAGCCCGAAATAGCTGAAAATCCATGTTTTCCGCGGTTCTACCTCAGAGTTCGACCTGGGCTCAAAGGCGACGGTTGATGAGCTTCGAATATGGTGTCTGGGACACCTATAGACACGTAACATACTTGAATATGATCAACCGTGGCCTTTGGGCCCAACCTCAAAATCGAACTTTTCCAACTATTTAGCCCGAAATAGCTGAAAATCCATGTTTTCCGCGGTTCTACCTCAGATTTCGACCTGGGCCCAAAGGCGACGAGTAATGAGCTTCGAAGATGGTGTCTGGGACACCTAGACACGTAACATACTTGAATATGATCCGTCGCCTGTGGGCCGAACCTCAAAATCGAACCATTCCAACTTTTTAGTCCGAAATAGTTGAAAAGTACTGTTTGTGCAACGTTCTATTCAGGATCTGGACTGAACCCAGAACTTGCCTTCGAATACACAGAATAGATTCATATCTTCTTGGTATATTGTCTGTCACAAGTCACTTGAATGGCTGCGAAAACTGAGATTTGTACTATTTCACGTATAGGTTAACTTGTCAGCTCCGGATTCCTTGATCGCTTGCTTGAGCTCTCCAGTGCTTGGTAATGTTACCTTTATGAAAAGCTCACTGTAATTAAACACCATACGGGTTTGTATTTGATGACTATCTCAGGTGAGAGATATCTGATGATAGGAACTTCAAAATAGGTTCTTTTTGACTGAATGCAGTTTTCACCAAATGTAACTCTACAGTGCTTATCATGGCCTCAGGAAGTCAGAGAAGTTTGCTTTGTTGGAAAGTTGGAAAAGTTCGATTTTGAGGTTGGGCCCAAAGGTGACGGTTGATCTTATTCAAGTATGTCACGTGTCTAGGTGTCCCAGACACCATATTCGAAGCTCATCACCCGTCGCTTTTGGGCCCAGGTCGAAATCTGAGGTAGAACCGCGGAAAACATGGATTTTCAGCTATTTCGGACTAAAAAGTTGGAAAAGTTCGATTTTGAGGTTGGGCCCACAGGCCACGGTTGATCATATTCAAGTATGTTACGTGTCTAGGTGTCCCAGACACCATCTTCGAGGCTCATCAACCGTCGCCTTTGGGCCCAGGTCGAAATCTGAGGTAGAACCGCGGAAAACATGGATTTTCAGCTATTTTCGGCTAAGGAGCAATGTTTAGGCCCCTGTTTCGCAGCCAAAAAATGTGAGTATCGGCAAAACTCGATTATTTCCATCATATATGCACCGGCAACTGCCAAATATCCAAAAATTATCCAATTCCGCGGAGGGGCCGATTTCGGCCCAAATCGCAACCCCTCTTTAAACATAAGGCGTTTCTCGACTTTTTGAGGTACGCACTTCTTCCAGTTCAAAGGTGATCTTCAATGGGCCTGTTGCAAACTTTTGCTCGAGCAAGAATAAGAGTTGTTTCTCATAAAAAATGGGTCAAAAATCACAATGAGCGCAAGGTCTGGAATGCACTCCTACTTTCACAATTTACGTAAAGAATTTGCGTTTTTTTGAGCTTCCCGCTTCATAAACGATACCTGGCACGGGTAAACAGTTCATTTGAGGAGTCGTTCCATGCAACCCTTGCGTACTAGAATGTTTTGCATTACTCAACATAACAAACGCTATCAAGACGGATCTTTATCAACGCAAGGAAAACGTGAATATAAACATGCCAGGTTGTTAACAAATGGTTAGAATTTTGTCCCGACACTTGAGTTTTGGCCAGTCTTGGCGGATTGGCGTTGGCCATGTTGAATATTGTGCAGTATCCTACAGCACATAGGTTGGAAGAGGCGACTCCTCTAACGAAATTTTCACCTGTGCCGTAGTATCGTTTTTGAAGCGGGAAGCAAAAAAAAGCGTGAGGTTCTTACGCGGATTGTGAAGTTAGGAGTGCATTTCAGACTTTGTTGATGCAATCATCGTGATTCTTGAGCCATTTTTTACAAGAAGCAACCCTTATATGGACGTCACCTTTATATGGATGTTGGCCCTTTTAACGTTATGAAAGGATGAATGATCTGAATTATGTCATCAACATGGACAGGTTCAATAAAGCAACGGAGGAAATCGTTCATGAATCCACATTAAAAAAGTTCTACGAACACTTTACGACTTATTCTCTTGAAAAAGACTGAAATTTTTGAGTCATACTTTTTTTCCCCTAATTCTTCGTTCTACGTGGACTTATACTCGAGTAAGGATTGTGATAACACAATACGGAGAAGGGAATTCATTTACGATTTCCGCTATTTAATTTCCGCTTCCAATAGTTAAGAGTTGCTCTCACATTTTTAGTTATTGTTACTTCTCTAGCCAACGGGTTGAGTTCTAGTGATTTTTGCCTTGAATTTTTTCAATTTGTTCAATGTGGTGGATGTGGCCTAAAATGCTGCCCCTCTTGATCTATTTACGCGATGAAAATTTTTTTTCTTCCTCTTCTTCCAGGTACGCTTAAGATTATGTTCATCATCCTGAAGATTGTATATTTATTTCCCTGCTGGTCTATCTGGGCAAGATGTGCACCAAACGTGCTGGATATGCCCCACGAAGAGATACGGATGTGGTCCGACCAAGTGGTTTAATTACAGTTCATATGGTGCACACCTGAAAAGCATTGATTGAATCAGATTTCAACCTGCTTTGCACACCTGACTTCCGCAAAATTTAAGTAGCACCCCCAATTTCAGGGCTCTGTTTCCCTCTACCTATGCCGGCATGGGAATATCCTAATGATAAAGACAAAAATTTTCTAGTAAAGTAGTTTATTTATATTCAAGTTCTTATAGTTAGGTTTTTTAGCACTTTTTTACCATTTTTATACCATTTTCTGTTCTTTCATCTTTTAATTTACCATTTTCTTTTAACTTTTAACCTTCTCCGATTTTCTTTTCTGTTTATTTTTCAACTCTGTTTTGTATACTACTAATATTTCATACTTATGCTCTTTCTGTACATTCTCTTGATTTAATTACTCTTCACTATCCACAATTTCTAAAAAGTGCCTATCCAATTGTTTGTTTTCTAAAACAAAGTGTAAAAAGACCTTACGGGTCTGATCATCTTATTGTATCATATTATTCATATTTAACATGTATGTTACTGAATAAATAAAAAAAAAAAAAAAAAAAAAAAAAAAAAAAAAAAAAAAATCATCCTGAAGATTGTATATTTATTTCCCTGCTGGTCTATCTGGGCAAAATGTGCTTCATTTTTTAAAAAGTTTCCGGGGAAGGCCTCCCGAACCCCCCTTTAAGGAAGGAGAGTGAACCTTTCTGACCCCCCTCCCTAAAGTTAACACTCCTACCGAACGCCTACCGGATAAAGTCACGCCACGCCACTGATCATATTTAACATGTATGTTACTGAATAAAAAAAAAAAAAAAAAAAAAAAAAAAAAAAAAAAAAAAAAAAAAAAAAANACACTCCTACCGAACGCCTACCGGATAAAGTCACGCCACGCCACTGATCATATTTAACATGTATGTTACTGAATAAAAAAAAAAAAAAAAAAAAAAAATCATCTTGAAGATTGTATATTTATTTCCCTGCTGGTCTATCTGGGCAAAATGTGCACCAAACGTGCTGGATATGCCCCACGAAGAGATACGGATGTGGTCCGACCAAGTGGTTTAATGAGTGACGTCAGCGCGGGGAACGGAGATGGCTGCCTTCAGTACAGCTCCGGCTTATTTAAGTAAATTTAGTGAATTTTTTCTGAAAATCGAAGTGAAAAGTGGCTGAAGTTGTCGACGATATGCAGGAGCAGACCCAGGAACTTGGAATCGGCGACCAGGTTGTACCTTTCCGATTTATTTGAACTTTTAAATTTTGTAGACCCGTCCGCCATTGTTACATAATCGCCACGTATAGAACCGTTATTCAATCTGGAAAATTTTTTAGGAAAGGAACAAGAATTTGAACAATTTAGAACTATTAAACCTTTTAGAACCTTTATTTAATGTCATGTGTGCATGTGGGCCTTAATTCTGGAAATTTTTTTTTTTATCTTGGAAACTTTGAAGTAGTCAGTGGCAGGGGTGCTGTCCTTGGGGTCTGGGGTCGGGAGTTTTGCATGCGATAGCCTCCATCTCGCGAATATCTTGGACCCGCTCTTCATCTTTCCATTTCATCCATTCATGTTCATGTGGTGGCACCACGCGAAAAAAGCTCGGTGGTTGGGGGTGTTTCTGGGGGTCCGGTGTTGGGCGGGGTGGGGCGATGCTTACGTGGGCTTCATTTCATTCATATTCACCGTGGAGAAGGCACCACGTAAAAAACAGTTCAAGGATAATAGCATATCTCATCTTTTGCCTGCGTGGGTGTTGCCCCACCTGTGCCTGGCGGGTGGCCCCTGGGGCATTTCCGCCACCGTTTTCGTTTTTCATTCATCTCATTTCATGGTTGTCGTGTGCATTGCTCTCGGCTAGGGGGCCCTGTAGGCGGTATTCCGCCATTGATTTGGACAATTGATTCACCGACACACATGCCCATGCGATAAGAACCATACGCGTCATCAGGTAACACCGGCCGTTGATTCCAAGTGATAATTTTTGTACCTTGAAACAGTGCTCGGCCCGGCCTTGCCAGACAATTTGTAAACTTTAGAAACGTTAACATTTTCCTGCTCGCCGCCACTTCGGTCCGGGACCCTTTTAACGACTTCAGCCATCTCCGTTCCTCGCCGCCCGCGTTGACGTCGCCTCCGTCCTAGGACGTTAAATTAGTCACAATTCTGGAAACTGGGTCACGTTGGAGGGTTTTCTCTGTCTTTTACCACCAACGGGGCCCGCCCCGGGGTCTCATCGGAGGGCTTTTTCGGGAACTTCACCGCGCAGGGATCCTCCCTTGGATTCGGGTCTGACGCACCCGCGCACCCGAGTTGGTCGGGGGTAGTTCGCTAGTGAACCCCGGCCCCTTCCTCCCTTTTCTAAAAAAAAATTTTCTAGTAAAGTAGTTTATTTATGTTCAAGTGTTTATAGTTAGGTTTTTTAGCATTTTTTTACCATTTTTATACCATTTTCTGTTCTTTTATCTTTTAATTTACCATTTTCTTCTAACTCTTAACCTTCTCCGATTTTCTTTTCTGTTTATTTTTCAACTCTGTTTTGTATACTACTAATATTTCATACTTATGCTCTTTCTGTACATTCTCTTGATTTAATTACTCTTCAATATCCACAATTTCTAAAAAGTGCCTATCCAATTGTTTGTAAATTTCAAAAACAAAGTGTAAAAAGACCTTACGGGTCTGATCATCTTATTGTATCATATTTAACATGTATGTTACTGAATAAAAAAAAAAAAAAAAATAATCCTGAAGATTGTATATTTATTTCTCTGCTGGTCTATCTGGGCAAAATGTACACCAAGGTGCTGGATACGACCACGAAGAGATACGGATGTGGTCCGACCAAGTGGTTCAATTACAGTTCATATGGTGCGTGGATAATCGAGTGCAAGCTAGGTGAGATTCCTACTGAGATGCTGCAATGATTTGATGGGTCATTTTTGCGTTCCTTTTCCACACAAGGACCGCATCGAGGTGAGATAACGAGATAAGAGTCGAACTCCTTATCTTAATTACCTTCATTACATTCATTTTCTGTCTCTCGTAATAACGACTTTTTGATAAAACTTCAAAAAACTTGAACGCTCCGGCTAACTATCGGGAACTATCGGCGATTGATCTGGTATTCTGACCGGGAGCCTCGGCCTTAAATTTTTTCAATTTGTTCAATGTGGTGGATGTGGCCTGAAATGCTGCCCCTCTTGATCTATTTTCGCGATGAAAAATTTTTTTCTTCCTCTTCTTCCAGGTACGCTTAAGATCATGTTCATCATCCTGAAGATTGTATATTTATTTCCCTGCTGGTCTATCTGGGCAAAATGTGCACCAAACGTGCTGGATATGCCCCACGAAGAGATACGGATGTGGTCCGACCAAGTGGTTTAATTACAGTTCATATGGTGCGTGATGACTTTGGTGACTCGTCGAAAGACTTTTCTTTTCCTCCCTGGAATCTTTTTAACAATTTATTTGCGCGAATGATTTTAATTTCTTATCTTTTTCAAAATTCTTAAAATTTTCAATCAATAAATTGTAAAACGCCATTCGTTTCTTGCCTCTCGTTTTTATTAACTTGTTAGATTTACATTCCTCAGAACAAAACGCATGAATGCTATTTTTTAAATTTTCAGTTTTCTAATAACGCTCTCCCACAGTTTTTCAGCAGGTATAATTGTCTAAAGACTTGGATCTTCACTTTAAAGGTGAAGATCAGAGTGTTCAGTCAATTATATCTTATAGCCGCTCCTCCAGTGATAAGATTTGATTCCGTGTAGGTGTAAGTCGTAAAATAAAATTACGTCTTATACGGAATCGAGTCTATTTCTGAAGAAAGGGTGACCACCCATTTTCTTCTCTACAAATTCCATTGTAAATGGTGGTCATCACAAGTGGTGCCGAAACCTCGGTCTTCAATTTGTTTTGTTGAGAACCATTAATTTCATTTTATTCTACATTCAATTATTTTTCACCTCGTTTTTGAATATGATCTGAGAGGAAATTGTAAATTTTTAAAAGGCGTTCATAATTTTTCTTGAATTAGAATTTCATCCTTAATTTTTTTACCTTTTAACTTGTTGACTTGTTACTAATCATTTACTTTATGACAGTGCCATTGTGTCAGTGATTTAGTGTTCTTACAGGAATTTTTTATTCTGTTTTTTGAGTGTTTAAATTTTTTTAAATTAAATTTGAATCCACTGCAGTTTGTGCGTATTGCTGTGTCTCTGGGCAGCCATTGCAATCCCCACGAGGTGCAGTTTAAAAACTTTTTTTTTT